ACTGTTATTCAATGTACACTGAATATTATTTGTAGAAAAATATTCGAGTTACGAGCCTCTTCCACATGACGTTGCTAGAAATAATCGTAAAAATGACGACCGATTGCCATTGAGAAAAAGAAAAAGCTAATCTTACTTATAGAATAAAATTGTAACTAGACGATGTCTGTACATGGAAGATATTTAAAAAAAAAAACTTTTATAAGGAATTTTTGTTAGACTTATAGAATCGGTTGACAAAATATAAAACAATGTAAGTAACAAACATACATTTGTCTTTTTTAAATATTTCCAAGAAATACTATATTCTTCTTAAGTGTACCATATTTTTAGCACATTTGGCAAATACGCAAATAAGCTGAAAAAAAGTTGGCAACCCATAAAGAATCTAGCGTGAAGATAAATAACAGCTGGTATTTTTTTTAAAGAATGAAAATGTAAAGGTAACTCCACCTGTACTATCGGTATATATTAGTAAGGCATCAGTAACGTGTGATAGGTGAGAAGTCAGATCATTAAGCCCATCTCATCGGGTGTAAAGACATTTTTTTTTATACAACTTAGAATGGCAAACAAGCTGACGACCACTTTCCATCAGGTGGGCCGTCAGCCTACTTGCTTAAAAAACGTAGGCCTCCCCCACAAGGAAGATTGTACCACACTTGGTAGGTGAGTTGGAAACCGCAGTTAAGCTTTAGTGATGTTTTAAAAGGGACGCTGCTGTCCACCCCTCAAACATTAAGTTATTTTAGTCGCTTTTTACGATATGCAAAAGAAAATACTAGAAGAAGCAGTATTATTTTTCATTCCATTATACATTAGTAATAGTAATCAATTATTTCACTAGATGGCTCTAAACAACTACTTTTGTTCTTTAACAAAATATAAATAAAGTTAATAGTAATCGTAAAACTAGTATTCTGGATCTTCTGCGATAATATTAATTTGAAATAAATATAATTAGCCGAACATTACAAAAAAAAATCTAAATAGCCAAAGGTAATATAATAATTATAACATTTATATATATTTTTTAATTGCAACATCAAATAAAACTTCATAACAATGTTACCAAATGAGTCCATTCGGGGCCTTTTAGCTGTTTCTTTCTCTATCTAACGTCATGTACTTTTATTTTACCGCTAAATAATAATTAACATAAATGAAAATAAAATATTTTAATTAACAAAAAAAAATATTTATGCTTATTAACGATAATTATCATTTCCATACAGTTTTTTGAAACTTTTTGATAACTTATTTTTCTTATTTATTTAACACAAAAATTTCCAAAACCAATTTTTTTTTATATGTATTGAAAATGAGAAGAAATATATAAGTAAATATCGTCATTTTTTGAGTAATCTGTATCTTTATAATTTCAATTTGGCCCGAATGTCTGACATCAAGTTGGCAACATTGCCCCTAAACGTCACAATTTGTTTATCAGTGCGTCAATTTGTGTTGGAACTTTACTTGAAATTATTTTAATATTAAATGTAATCAAAAGACTAATTATACACAATGTCGGAACAAGACGAGACCTACTGTCGTCTGTGCGCCGAACCAACGCCAACGGACCAGCTTATATCGTCCGACGGAGATGTGGGAAAAAATTCTAAAATTTGCACCAAAATGCTGTGGATAAATATTGATATGAATAGTCCATTGCCGAATGCTATATGTTTCTCTTGTTTCGACATCAAATGTAGCACCCGCGCGAAGCCGGGGCGGGTCGCTTGTTTTTAAATATAAATATTGATCGATAACGAATATAACAATGTAATGTATTTATTATTTAGATTCTTGTTGAATGCGGAATCGCAAGATGTCGTACGCTTATGGAATAACAAGAGAACGCTAGGCAAATGGCGACGACCTAGGCAAATATAACATTTTACGTAACATTGATGTTTTATTATGTTTGTTCGCATTGTACAATGGATATACAATATGTTTTTAATGTATGTACGTTATACCGTAAGAGTATGTATAACGTAATACGTTTGTAACGTAACAGTTATGCAGCTATATCAGCACGCTGCCTCTAGTCAATGAGATAGTTTTTTGTTTGGTGAAAATGGTATGGTAACCCCGCCTGCGCTAACGGGATACGCTGGCGGAGCACCAGTGAAGGGTGATAGATGAGAATGAAAACAGGCCAGTTAGCCCATCATGATGAATTCATCAGGAATTAAACATGATAGTTTCCAGGGGGTACCGCGTGGAGATCGACCTGGTTAAGTATATTGCTAGCAATAGGATTCTCAGTCTCCATTACTAACAATCCCTTTCCCCCCATAATAGTAAGTACTAGTACTATACTGTTTCCACTTCTCATTGTATGCACACTGCCCGCTGGTGATTAACGCTCCATTCCACTCAGGGTTTGCTGGAAGAGAACTCTCTTACAGAGTTAAGCTCGCCTGTTGTACATCTTCATTTAATATATATTATAACGATGTAATTTTTATGTACAATAAAATATAAACCATGGTATCACGGGCGAAACAGTATACTCTGTTATGTCCATGATACTGCTCATGTCTATAGGCGACGGTTACCACTTTCCATCAGGTGGACCGTCAGCTTGTTTGCCATTTTAAGTTGCATAAAAAAATTTGTTCAATCCAGCGCCATCTAGTATTTCGTGTACGAATTTGATTTGTAAGTTTAATAAGTTTATGTCTATAGGCAATGGTTACCACGTTCCATCAGGTGAACACTAAACTCGTCTGCTATTTAGATAGATAGATAGATGACCTTTATTACCAGTATTAAGAAAATAAAAAATTTAAACAACAAAAAGAAAAAAAAAGAACAATTAATGTTGCTGGTAATAGGAGCCGCCTCAGCTGTTGCTATATATGTACAGCTCCAGCGAGATGTACCTATATAGCGCTGATTTTCAGGCGGCCCCTTGACTCCTTTTATTTCACGTTTTATAAAAAAAAAAAAAAAAAAAACAACGAATTATAGACAGTACAATGGAAACTGGCCATTTTTAAAGCAAGTCACGCGTACATATGCACACTAAAGAAAAACATTTGAACGTATGTGCTTTAAAATAAACCCAGTCTGAAGATACTGGGAAATTTATTAACATTACAAATTGAATTTATGTGCGAACGTGAGCACGAGCAGTGGAATTATTGTGGTGTACTCAGAACACCTTAATTATTACAAGTACCTCAGATCATGTACATATGTGCCTTTAGAATGTTCTACATGGGAGTAAACGCTCAGGTTATTATTGGCTTTTTTTTTATACATAGAGTAGCAAGTCTAAAACTACGTTCTTTTAATTTTTTTTTTTCTAATGTTTTTTTTTGTAATGTAAACAATAAAAATGATAATAAAATAATAACAATAATAAAAAATTACTATTAAAAAATGCTCAAATCTAAGTTAACTTAAATATAAATATTTCTTTTTTTTTCTTTCTTTCAATGTGTCATCTTACGGGGAATTGAAAAATGGCGGGAACGGTGAGCGTTTAGTTTTAATTGAAGAGCTGTAGGTTTAATATACATATATGTATATGTGATTGGACTATACGTAATTGTTTGTTATGACTGTTATTCAATGTACACTGAATATTATTTGTAGAAAAATATTCGAGTTACGAGCCTCTTCCACATGACGTTGCTAGAAATAATCGTAAAAATGACGACCGATTGCCATTGAGAAAAAGAAAAAGCTAATCTTACTTATAGAATAAAATTGTAACTAGACGATGTCTGTACATGGAAGATATTTAAAAAAAAAACTTTTATAAGGAATTTTTGTTAGACTTATAGAATCGGTTGACAAAATATAAAACAATGTAAGTAACAAACATACATTTGTCTTTTTTAAATATTTCCAAGAAATACTATATTCTTCTTAAGTGTACCATATTTTTAGCACATTTGGCAAATACGCAAATAAGCTGAAAAAAAGTTGGCAACCCATAAAGAATCTAGCGTGAAGATAAATAACAGCTGGTATTTTTTTTAAAGAATGAAAATGTAAAGGTAACTCCACCTGTACTATCGGTATATATTAGTAAGGCATCAGTAACGTGTGATAGGTGAGAAGTCAGATCATTAAGCCCATCTCATCGGGTGTAAAGACATTTTTTTTTATACAACTTAGAATGGCAAACAAGCTGACGACCACTTTCCATCAGGTGGGCCGTCAGCCTACTTGCTTAAAAAACGTAGGCCTCCCCCACAAGGAAGATTGTACCAGAATTACCACACTTGGTAGGTGAGTTGGAAACCGCAGTTAAGCTTTAGTGATGTTTTAAAAGGGACGCTGCTGTCCACCCCTCAAACATTAAGTTATTTTAGTCGCTTTTTACGATATGCAAAAGAAAATACTAGAAGAAGCAGTATTATTTTTCATTCCATTATACATTAGTAATAGTAATCAATTATTTCACTAGATGGCTCTAAACAACTACTTTTGTTCTTTAACAAAATATAAATAAAGTTAATAGTAATCGTAAAACTAGTATTCTGGATCTTCTGCGATAATATTAATTTGAAATAAATATAATTAGCCGAACATTACAAAAAAAAATCTAAATAGCCAAAGGTAATATAATAATTATAACATTTATATATATTTTTTAATTGCAACATCAAATAAAACTTCATAACAATGTTACCAAATGAGTCCATTCGGGGCCTTTTAGCTGTTTCTTTCTCTATCTAACGTCATGTACTTTTATTTTACCGCTAAATAATAATTAACATAAATGAAAATAAAATATTTTAATTAACAAAAAAAAATATTTATGCTTATTAACGATAATTATCATTTCCATACAGTTTTTTGAAACTTTTTGATAACTTATTTTTCTTATTTATTTAACACAAAAATTTCCAAAACCAATTTTTTTTTATATGTATTGAAAATGAGAAGAAATATATAAGTAAATATCGTCATTTTTTGAGTAATCTGTATCTTTATAATTTCAATTTGGCCCGAATGTCTGACATCAAGTTGGCAACATTGCCCCTAAACGTCACAATTTGTTTATCAGTGCGTCAATTTGTGTTGGAACTTTACTTGAAATTATTTTAATATTAAATGTAATCAAAAGACTAATTATACACAATGTCGGAACAAGACGAGACCTACTGTCGTCTGTGCGCCGAACCAACGCCAACGGACCAGCTTATATCGTCCGACGGAGATGTGGGAAAAAATTCTAAAATTTGCACCAAAATGCTGTGGATAAATATTGATATGAATAGTCCATTGCCGAATGCTATATGTTTCTCTTGTTTCGACATGCTGGAACGTACCTGGCAATTTCTGCACAACGTTAGAACGGCCCAGCAAAAATTGAACGAGATTTTCGCTAAGAAGTCCGAGGATGCCACCGCCACTTCAACCAAGACTGATAGCACTTTAGATACTGGAAAACCTGTTAATAAAGACTGGGAGGAGTTTCAAGACACAAAATTGGAGGTAAAAGACGAGTCTCCTATAGATAATTTACAGATTATAACAGTCGATCCAAACTCCTTGATGGACGTTGATTTAAATATAATCAAAACGGAACGCGATAGTGATGATGATGTAGAAGTATTGGGTGACGGTTTCGATTCAACAGACAGCGATATACCACTCCAGTTGTCCGTTAAAAAGAAAAAATTGAAGAAAACCAAAAAGAGCTCGGAAAAATTGGCTAATCAAGAAATAGACGAAGTAACATTGAGTTGGGACAATTATATGTGTCGTTGCGCAAACTGCGATGCTCAGTGTAAGAATATGTCGTTGCTGAGATTGCATTCGTTGCATATACACTCGTGCTGCTGTGTCTTCAAATGCTCGGATTGCGGTAAAGCGATCGGCAGCTTTAGAAATTTTATCAACCATGTACGAGTACACAACAAAGTGTTGAGGTATTATTGTGAATTCTGCAATAAACGATTCACACGATCCGCTTACACCAAAAAACACCGTAACACCGTCCACCGAGATGCGTATCTAACAATGTGTGGTAACTGTGGTGCATCTTTTGATACGCACGAACAGCTGAAAGACCATATACTAATCTATTCGAAGAGCTTAAAGAAACGAACTTTAAAACGAGAGAATGGCGAAACGGATCTAAGATGCAATCATTGCAATAAAGAATTCAAGTCACGAAGCAATTTAGTTCAACACAAGCTTGTACACACAGAACGAAGGAGAGACTTCTCATGTCATGTGTGCGGTAAAATGTTTTACACAAAAGGCACTCTTGGTACGCACATGATGACACATGAAGACACGAAGCCTTATAAGTGTGAATTCTGTCCAATGGCATTCCGTGCTCGTGGCAACTTGCAATCACACGTAAGTTTACATTCAGCAGCTAAACCCTTCGTCTGTGAGCAATGCGGCAAGAGTTTTCGTGTGAAACGTCATTTGAAGTCTCACTCCATCGTTCACACAGACTTAATGCCATATGAATGCGAATATTGCCACAAAGCGTTCCGTTTCAAGACTCGTTTGAATTTACACCTACGTCAGCACACTGGTGCGAAGCCGTACACTTGTATTTACTGCCAACGAGACTTCACAAACGGTTCAAACTTCAAGAAACATATGAAGAGACGCCACAATATAGATACGTCGAAAAAGAAATATAACAATATTGTTAATGAAAAAAGTTTGGATGGCAGTGACGAAGTTAATAGTAATCAGACATAATGATAGATGTAAGCCATTCCATATTAATTTACTCTTTTTTTTTACCAGGAAGACATATTTGATTGCGCTGTACCCTCAGATGTAAGCTTGGGTCATATGGATACTTATCTGGTATCTATATATCAAAAAAAAGGTCGTCACCCATTGCAATATCTTCCATACTATACACTATACATACCATCTGTTTTCGAATATGTTAAAAGTCTGTTATGCAGTATTTTCCAAAGGGAAACTTTGTACAAAAGTCGTTTTCTTGAGTACCTCTGTCCCAGTCGTGTTCCAACTGTAAAGCAGTTGTTTACATGGCTGTGTTTCGGTTTGAAGGGTGGGATATGACAGTGAATTTACAGGGTACTAAATAATAATACCTGAGTCCTCAGGAATGACAACGCATGGGTATCATGAGCGAAACAGTATACTCTGTTATGTCCATGGTACTGTTCATATCTATAGGTGACGGTTACCACTTTCCATCAGGTGTGCCATCAAATGATTTGCCATTGTAAATTGCAAAAAGCAAACGTAATACAAGTTCTGGTAAGTTTGAAAATGAACAGCGCTTTTTAATAGTCCACTTGTATTTATTAATAATTTTATTCAAATGGCTGAACACATTTTAATAGAATCTTGTACATAGGTAGACCATGTCCCAGATTATCAAATTATTTTTAACATTCTTGTCAGGAAGTTCGTTGAGTTTGTCCAGAGCCAAATCCTTAATTTAAGGGAATTTTTACCATGTAACTGGCAACTAATATAATATCTAAATTCATATTTTTATTATTGTTGTTTTTCAATGAAACTTAACGAAATACTGATCAAGTTTTGTTACAATTATCATAGAAACACGTTCTAAATTCAAATTGATCTTTACTCAAACAGATTTGTTTACAAGCACTTTTAAATCGTCACTTTTTTTTTAAATCTACTGAAGGGTTCAAAGAGTTGTTATCTGTTAAGAAGAGACCGCAAGAAACTCGACAGTTATTTATTTAATTTATTTAAATTTAATATGGAAACATGTAATATCTAGAACATATAAATAATAAATACATCCATAACATATTTCAGTAATGTTTCCACAATAAACTTACACGTTAAATAAACAGCGGGTCCACCATGATATGAAATTCCGAAATTTCGGACTCAATTTCGTGTTTTTGTTTATACCAAAATCGGACCAATAAATGGAGTTTGACATTTCGTTCGTCATACATCCTATCGTAAAAGTCCAAAAGAACGATATTTTAACATTTTTAATATTTCCAAACGGCATGTATTGTGTAATTTTAACATCGAATTTCTGTTTCGTTTGGCTCCGAAATTTCGGAAAACATTTTACGGTAGGCCCTCAGAAAAAAAATTATTTGTCCATAGTCTCACTGAATGTCAAACGTGACCATAATAAATTCATTTATTACAATATATGTTATGGTCGAATTTCGATCGCTGACTGACCATTAATATCTATCTACTATCTGTTGTCCCCGGATTTACATGCGTAACGTCTTGTTTCCCCCCCTAATTTGGATTCAAAACTCTTCACTTAGCGGATGCTTACGTTATAAAATTTAAAAATGTGTTCAACGAAAAAAAACGCCATCAGTTGTGGCAATACCAGTTATTTTAGTTTGAAAACTAAACTACTAAACCGATTTTGATGAAATTTCTATACGACCAATCTGTAAGTATATCCTTTCGGATAAAAAAAGGATTTTCCAAATCGGTCCACAACTGACGGAGTTATGAGGTGACAAACTTAAAAAGGTTACAAGCGTATTAAGAATCTCCTTTTTAAATGCACGCTTCAAGGGGTCTATTTTTTGATGGGTGAAAATAGTATGGTAACCCCGCCTGCGCTAACGGGATACTCTGGTGGAGCACCAGTGAAGGGTGATAGATGAGAATGAAAACAGGCCAGTTAGCCCATCATGATGAATTCATCAGGAATTAACCATGATAGTATAAAGGGGGAACCGCGAGGAGGTCGACCTGGTTGGTGGGTATATTGCTAGGATTCTCAGTCTAAATTACTAACAACCCCTTTCCCCCCAAACGCTCCAGGGGGTCGCCCCGCACTACACTTGGTTACTGGTCCGTATTAGTTGAAATTATAAACGGTTAACTGTGCGTATGTTAGTCGAATCCCATATGAGGGCGCGGCTTGACCCCTCGCTAGTCACACTAGAATGCTTACCTTATTATCAACCGACTTCCAAAAAGGAGATTCACAATTCAGTCGTATTTTTTGTTTATGTTTGTCACCTCATAACTCCGTCAGTTGTGGACCGATTTGGAAAAAAATCTTTATTTTAAAAGAACATACTTGCATATTGGTGACATAGTTTTTTTTTTTTTTTATTTAATTCACTAGTAGTTTTTATTCACATTGTCGCATTCTTTACAATAGATATTTACTCCCTTTAGTCCTGTATAAAAATAAAAATGTAAAAACTTTTTTTTTATACACAACTTAGAAGGGCAAACAAGCTGACGGCCCACCTGATGGAAAGTGATAACCGTCGCCTATAGACGTGAGCAGTACCATGGACATAACAGAGTATACTGTTTCGCCCATGATACCCCCCATGCGTTGCCATTCCTGAGGACTCGGGTGTTATTCCTCTGTACCCTGTAAATTCACTGCTATATCCCACCCTTCAAACCGAAATACAGCCATGCAAACAACTGCTTCACGGTTAAAACACGAATGGGACAGAGGTACCCAAGCAATCGACTTTTGTACAAAGTCTCCCTCTGTAAACTGCTCGTAGCAAAGCGAAATCTACTTGCAGACACAAGATTGTAATTTCGTAATATTTTGAATCTAATCTGTCTACATGATCTCGTTGGTCCACGTGTCTTATTCGTTTCACAAGTATATTTTGTAGTGAACTAAATAATTCATTGATAGTCTCTGAACTATAATAAATCGGGAGACATGAAATATATTTCCAAAATTATCTGATTAATCGATACTGACGCCAAAAATGCAATCAGTAAAATTTTTATCTATCTGTCTGTATGTTTATTATAGAAACAAAAACTACTCGACGTAACGTGCAGTACAATTATTCTTCAATGGCAGGTTATAGTGTACTTTTGATTTTAAAATGTGAAGGGAAATGTTGGGTAAACGGGAGAAGTTACTCCATTTCTAAACTTCCGTAGCGTGTGCAGCCTTAATGGCCACTTTTTAAAATGTAAAAATGTCCACCCGCGCGACGCCGGGCGGGCCGCTAGTTATCTAATATGCATATTAAAAGTTAATTTACAAAAGTATCAACATCGTCATTTCGGCCATTATCCGTCCACTGCTGGACATAGGCCTCCCCCATAGACTGCCATAAGGAACGGTTCTGAGTCACCTCAGGATCAACAGTTTAGTTTTTAAATCAAAATAACTGGTTTTTTCACAATTAAAGTTGGTTTTTAACACAATTTTTAATTTATTTCTTTATTTTTATTTATTAGCATGTCACATGGTACAAATTAGTTATTATAATAAGTAAGCACATAAGACATGTGACACCCCATAAGACATGTGACACCCCATAAGACATGTGACACCCCATAAGACATGTGACACTTCATAAGACATGTGACACCACATAAGACATGTGACACCCCATAAGACATGTAACACCCAATAAGACATGTAGGGGCACCGCAATTTACAGAGAGAGCCATCCACTTTCGATGCCAGTTATCACCATATGTTGTATCATGCTATATTTTTTATGTATTGATTTTTTTAATGGATGATAATGGAATGGTAACCCCGCCTGCGTTAACGGTGTACGCTGGCGGGGCACCAGTGAAGGGTGATAGATGAGAATGAAAAAAGACAGGTCAGTTAGCCCATCGCGATGAACACACTTGGAACTCAGCACGATATTTTCTAGGAGGGACCACGGGGAGGTCGACCTGGTTAGATATATTGCTAGCAATAGAGTTCTTAGCCTCCATTACTAACAATCCCTCCCCCCCGTATTCATTTTGTTAGATTTTAAATTTTGATACAACTATCTATTTGTATCTACTATTGTGCATTCACAGACTGTCTTATGGGGGGGAGGGATTGTTAGTAATGGAGGTTAAGAATCTCATTGCTAGCAATACACCCAGCCAGGTAGACCTCCATGTGGTTCCCACTGGAAACTAACATGGTTGATTCCTGATTAATTCGTCATGATGGGCTAACTGGGCTGTTTTCATTCTCAGCGATCACCTTTCACTGGTACTCCGCCAGTGTATACCGGTAGCGAAGGCGGAGCTGCCATTCCATTTCCATCCATGAAAAAAAGATTGTCTTTAGGTCGGCTCGATTGTTTGTTTATATTGTCGTTAAGATCTATTGAAACAGTGTATAGGTAGACAAAGCAATAGAACATGCAATATACAATTCTTTTGTTCGATATTAGGTATAAAAATTTCATTACGTCTTTACACTTTTTGTATATACAGTCTATTATGTATAGATATTAAATTATTTTGTATTTAGTACATAGATTATTAAATAAGATAACTTTAAAGGAATTAAATATATTTTTGTGCATAATTATGTATTGTTTTTCTCTCTCTTTTCACATTTAAGAGTTTCCTCTTGTCGGTGCAACCAATTCATGCATTCTCTTCCAACCAGTTCTATCCCAGGCCATATCCTTGATCTCCCTATACGACGTGACACCTAGTGTTTCCTTTATCTTTCCCGTGTAGTTATTCCTCGGTCTTCCCGTTCCTCTTTTGCCCTCTATTTTTCCTTCTACGATGCTCTTTAAAAAATCGTCATGTCGTATAAGATGGCTCAGCATTTTGCCTCTTCTATTCTCTACTCTCAATTGGATTATTTTTGTAACTCGATAAATTTACCCAGTTGAGATATAAGTTAGAGGAATGAAAAAAAGGTATAGACATTGAGGAGAAAGGTTACAAAAGTCGCTTGCACCGTTTCTGCTGCCCAGTAGTTGTTTGCATGGCTACGTTTCGGTTTGAAGGGTGGGATATAGCAGTGAATTTACAGGGTATAGAGGAATAACACTTGAGTCCTCAGGAATGGCAACGCATGGGAGGTATCATGGGCGAAACAGTATACTCTGTTATGTCCATAGTACTGCTCTTGTTTATAGGCGATGGTTAGCATTTTCCATCAGGTGGACCGTCAGCTTGTTTGCCATTCTAAATTGGCATAAAAAAAAACAAGATCAACCTAATATATTGCCAGCAATGGGATTATTAGACCCCATTACTAACAATTACTTCCCCCCCCTGCCAGATCGCTCAGCTGTCAATCGGTTCACGTACGAATTAATCATCGTAACATGATTATGCTATCGGAAAGTGTGATTATGAAAGAAAAATTACGGACGGCGGAACTTGATTCACTGTAATCCAGTTATGAAGTATAAGTAAAAACAAACATGCTACAATTTTAACACTTCTCTTTAAATTTTTTTTCGGAAATTTCCTTATTCAGATATATTTCTTTTTAAGTTCGTCACCACATAACTCCGTCAGTTGTGAACCGATTTGGAAAATTATTTTTTTTATCTTAAATCGTATATTTACACATTGGTCCTGTAGAGATTTTATTAAAATCGCTTCAGTAGTTCAGTTCTTAAATCAAAATAACCGATTTTGTCACATTTTAAATCGGTTTTCTTTTTTTGGAGTAGATCTTATTTATTTAACTCTTCTTTGCATAATGGTGGAAATTTCCATCATAACATTGAACGCCCAAAAATTATATAAATGAACAAATTTATATGAATTACATAGAGAAAGCTCGACTAGTTTCGGAATCAATTCGTGATCCGTAATCATGAGCGGCTGTAACGCGAGCGGAAGTCTGATATAACATTAGTTTCTTCTGAAATTTATACGCACGAAAAGTTAGTAATGAAATTATAACTTAGTGTCATTATGAAGAATGGTTTCAGTTAATCCTTCAGACCATATCTCTTGTAAAAGGGACAATAAAGTCGACTTTCTGGAGCGGAAAGGCACCAATATCAACTTACACGCTACTCAATTGTTTGACATGAGAACACTAGTACGCAAATGGCGTCTAGTATTTATCTAAACACTAGACGTCTGGTCTTGGCCATGCTTTTTTTTTATACCACTGAAGTGGCAAACAAGCATACGGCCCACCTGATGGTGAATGGTTACCGTAGAATATGAACACCTGCAATACCAGAGGTATTACGCGCGCGTTGTCGACCCTGAAAAAACCTCTTTAACCCCCTTTTGAAGAACCCCATGCTGTAGTCTCTTGGAAAAATCTGAGCTCTCTCATTCCATAACCTGAGTGTTCGTGGGAGGAAACATCTCTGAAACCGCGCTGTACGCGACCATTTAGACTGTAGGATATGTGGATGCTGCTCTAAATCCCCAATACTGAGGGAGAGGGGATTGTTAATAATACGGATAACCAGTCCCACTGTCAGCAATATGCCCTTTCAGGTCGACACTCCACGTGGTCTCCCCTGGAAACCATCAAGCTGAATTCCAGGTATATTGGTTACGATGGACTAACTGACTTGTTTTTCTCCACACCCGTCATCCCTCACTGGTGCCCCGACAGTATATACCGATAGCGCAAGCGGGTTTGCCATTCCATTACCATCCATTCAAAAAAATCCCCATTACCCCCGCCTTGTAAAATTTACAAAAAAAAGACCTAATGAGACCCCCTCCTTTTGAAAGTCACTTCTAAATCTATGGAAGCTGTAAAAGTAATCTCACTGGGGGAGAGGGACTATCAGTCCCATTGCTAGGGTATATGTACCCTATCAGGTCAAGCTCCACGCAATACACCCTGGAAACCATCGTGGTTATTTATTATTAAACTCAGCGTATACCGATAGCGCAGGCGGGCTTACCATTCCATTAACACCCATTAATAATTAAAAATCGTGTCTCACAAGAAGAAACTGTCTTCAATTATGACAAAACCAGTTATTTTGGTCTAAAAACTAAACTGCTGAACCGATTTTTATAAAATCCCTATGCGAACAATCTGTAAGTATATGTTTTCAAATAAAAAAAGAATTTGCCAAATCGGTTCACAACTGACGGAGTTATGAGGCGACGAACATAAAAAAAAAATACAACCGAACTGAGAATCTCCTTCTTTATGAAGTCAGTTATAAAAAAGTATAAGTCAGTTGTAAAAAAATATAAGTCATTCATAAAATTCTCATTCGTTTAGCTCCACTGCTATTTATCTTTTTATCACATTTAATTTATTAATCTTCGTAACGTGGTCGCTATTAGAAAATATCTAGTTGTTCTAAATCTTATACGTCGGCATAGACTAAAATTATTGGCAGACATACCACTCCTCCGCCATGTGAATTCAACATAGAAAAAGCCGCGCCTTCTTTAAGTGGCGTAAGAGGCGACTAAGAGAGCTTAATGGTCGAGAGATAGGCAGCAACGTCGCTCTTAAAATATCACCAAAACCTAACTGTGGTTGCCGACCTGTCCGTCAAGTAGTTGCTACTAGCAAAGTTCGCTTTTTTCATGCTACTTAGAATGGCAAACAAGCTGACGGCCCACCTGATGGAAAGTGGTGACCGTCGCCTATAGACATGAGCAGTGCCATGGACATAACAGAGTATATTGTTTCGCCTATGATACCTCCCAAGCGTTGCTATTCCTAAGGTCGCAGATGTTATTCCTATGTACCCTTCAAACCGAAACACAACCATGCACAACACAACTGCTTCACGGTAGAAACACAAATGAAACAGAGGTGCCCAAGCAAACGACTTTTGTACAAAGTCACCCCCTGGTGAAGGCTTAAGTTCAGCGGTGGACAGTTGGCGGTTGACATGATGACAATGATGATTTATAAGTAAATAATGAAGTTGGTATCATTAGCATTCCTCGAATCAGTTAACATAAAGGATACCACCGAAGTGAGAACCTCCTTCATTTAAGTCGGTTGAAAAAGTTCATGCACCTATTTGCATATCACCGTTACCAGTCTGAACTGGTTTATGTATTAAATCTTCTAATATATTAATGCTTAAAATGCTGAAGACTAAAATAACTCACATACATACACACATGAACCCTAAAAACATTACACTCTTTTTTTGACAGTTGTGTAATTAGCGTATTTTTTTTTTTTACCTTTCATCCCTATTTTTACCTAATAGACCGTCTGCATATTATTGCTCTATGTAGAGTATGTCGCAGTAACGCACGCGATGGTGCGACTCGGCTGCGCGGGCGCACACGAGATTACAGAATGCGGTGTGAAGATATATTTTAAGTTTTTTTTTTAACACAAAGGGCAAATAAGCATGCAGCTCATCTGATGGTAAGTGACTACCGCCGCCCGTGATCACCCACAACACTAGCAGGCATTGCAGGTTTGCTGCTGGTCTTTTAAAAAGGAATATGCTCTTTTCTTGAAGGTTATGCTGTCTTATCGGTTCGGTAATACTGCTGCTGGGAGTTTATTATATTTATTTATAAGTAAACACTGAAGTTATTATAATCCTTCGAAGGAAGCGTTCCACAAGCGAAACTAAATATTACGAAAGCAACACAGGTCGAAAATGATAATGCATCTTGAGCCTACCATATACACGGTGCATTCAGCTGTTAAATTCTTTTTTATACATCTCAGAAGGACAAGCTGACGGCCCACCTGATGGAAAATCGTAACCGTCGCCTAAAGACATGGACAGTACTATGGACATAACAGAGTATACTGTTTCGCCCATGTTACCCCCCATGCGTTGCCATTCCTGAGGACTAAAGTGTTATTTATACCTCTGTACTCCGTAATTTTTGATTTTTAAAAACTTTTGTTTATATTAATATTGTAAAACACAATAAATAAATGAATAAATAAATCGTATTTAGACCGTGATGTATGCTTTTCTTACTTTTTTTACAATCATCTTTATTCGTAAACATCTGTTACAGATTCTTATGATACGTCACTTTATAATTATAATAATTACTATATAAAATAATATCAATTAAAAAAAATACAATAATTACATTTACAATACAATTTTCATTAATATTATATATATAATCTCAAATATATAATCTTTTAATATCATGATAAAAGTATTCACGATAGTATCTCGTCATATGGTATTAATAAATAAAATACTAGAAAATAGATCCGTAGACGAATATCTTGGCTCGTGCCACTCCCCTGTATACCGTGCCGTGTTCATCAAACCGTACAGAAAACAAAAGCAACGGAAATATCCCTCCAGTCGACGACAAGAAAGGCCGCGAGACAGTTTTCTGAAAGCATCATAAATCGTATTATAAATATTTATAAACGTATATCTTTAACTCTTAGTGACACGATATTTAATTGAAAGTATTTAAGAAAAAAAAAGTTTACACTTTTTATCGAGTGAAAAAGACAAGAGCTGTCAGAATTGCCGCCAAAAATTCTCGCAATTGTAATTTACATAATATGAATACATTACATGCTCGCAACTCTTTTGTAATTGTAATATAAAATTAATTTAAACATAAATGTTGTAATTACGCGAATGTGTATTTAGGAAAGTAATTATTTACTTTAACAGACAGTGTATTGACTAGATGAATTGATTTGACAGTTTATTTTTTTAAAAATGGAGCGTGTCTCGGGATGTGTGCTCGTAGTGCTTGCTTTCTTCACACGGCTCGCGTACTCTGAAGATTACTTCCGAATGGTAAGCGAATATCGCCATATATTTGATATGATCATAATTACGATAGATTTGTGATATGGACAATTAAATATGTAGACGATGTGGCGGTTTTACAAACTGCCATTATGTGATCATAGGTTCGTTACCCGAAACATTTTATTAATATCAACTGTTACTTTCCTTTTTAATGAGTATAAATGCTTTATTTATTTATGTATGACAATGGTATGATAACTCCGCCTGCGCTAACGGGTACCAGTGAAGGGTGGGTGAGAATGAAAACAGGTCAGTTGACATCGTGACGAATTCATTAGGAATTAACCAAGATGTTTTCCATAGGGGACTGCGTGGAGGTCGACCTGATAGAGTATATTGCTACCGATGGAGTTTTGAACCTCATTACTAAAATCCCATCACCCCGGGTAAAGTATTATTGATATAATACGTACATAACTATAAAACACCCAGATCAATATAAATACGCGGGTAGAAGGAGGGAGAATTGCTTTTAATGGGGAATAGCGACCCCATTACTAGTACTATACCCTGTCTCGCCCGTTCATATGGACCTCCAGGAAGCCATCATCATCATCATCATATCAGCCGTTAACTCCCCTCTGTTAAACATAGCCCTCCCACTTGGGGGAATTTTCCCAGTTGTTGCCACGCTTGGCAGGCGGGTTGGCAGCCGCAGTTAGGCTTTTAGTTTTAAGAGGAACACTACTGTCCACCCTACGATCATTAAGTCTCCTTAATCACCTCTTACAATATCCGCGGGTAAGAGAAGAATGCTCCATTTTATACCGCGACCACACAGCACTTCCTGGAAGTAGTCATGCTTAATTCCTGTTGAATTCGTCACGATATACTAGGTAACTTGATTTCACTACCCCCGATCCTCCCTCGCTGGTGCCCCGCCAGCGTACAGTAAAAGCTCTTTATTCGCGGTGTATCCGATCCGTAAATATACCGCGAATACAGAAACCGTGAATATAGAAAGCCGAACCAGCGGCGTTGGCATTTGACAACGTACTTTAGGCATAATTGTAATAAGGTACGTTTTACTTTTTTATTTCTCCATTTGTCAACGCGTTTATAAAAGATACTTAATCCATTGTTAATAATATGCACCGTTTAGATCCGTGAATATAGAAATCTTAAACCGCGAATATAGGAATTGGGTCGGAATTTTTTAATCCGCGAATAGTGAAAACGTGAATAAAGGAAGCGTGAATAAAAAGCTTTAACTGTATACCGATAGCGCGGATTACCATTCCATATTCATCCAAAATACATTACGATCCTATATTAATCAGTTAAGTAAAAAAAAAGGCTACAATAATGACAATCTTACCTTGATATAGCTAAAGTATATAATTCATATGTGGGTAATTTGTTTAAACGATTATATCTAGTGACGTGCTGGGTTAACTATTTTGCGTATTCGAGTATTTATTTATTCTTTATTACACCACTTAAAGAATAATGCATACATACATCCTATTTAAGCTGCTCTCTTGTCGATGGAGCTCTTGCCACTCACTACGATTTGCAGCGAGTCTCTTCACCTCTTGATACGACACGACACCAACTTCTTCCTTGATCTGTCTGTAACTATTTTTTACCAGAGGGAGACTTTGTACAAAAGTCGATTGCTTGGGTACCTCTGTCCCATTCGTGTTTCAACCGTAAAGCAGTTGTGTTTGCATGGCTGTGTTTCGGTTTGAAGGGTGGGATATGGCGTGAATTTACTGGGTACAGAGAAATAACACCTGACTCCTCAGGAATGGCAACGCATGGGGGGTATCATGGGCGAAACAGTATACTCTGTTATGTCCATGGTACTGCTCATGTCTATAGGCGACGGTTACCATTAAAAAAAAAACTATTCCTTGTTCTTCCTTTTCCCTCCTTTCTTTCCTTTAATGTATATATATATATATATATATATATATATATATATATATATATATATATATATATATATATATATATATATATATATATTTAAAAACAAATAAATATAAAACCATAACTACATTGGACTCTGCGTTTTTTTATATGGGTGATAATGGAATGGTAATCCCGCCTACGGTATCGGTATACGCTGGCGGGGCACCAGTGAGTAATGATAGGTGAGGGTGAAAGCAGGTCAGTTAGCCCATCATGACGAATTCCATTAGAATTCACCACGATGGTTTCCGGGGGGAACCGCGTGGTGGTCAACCTGGTAAGGTGTATTGCTAGCAATAGGTCAGTTAGACTCCATAACTAACAATCCCTTTCCCCCTGGACTCTACGTTAGGTGAACCTGCATCGCGGGAGTCCATAAAGGGATTACCAAGATGTGTAATATTACTATTTGTCGTGATGCCATAGAATGGGCCACCCCTTTCAGTGTAGTTTACTTTTGAAATTAAAATAACTGGTTTTGTCATAAATAATTTTTTTTTTTTGTGCAGCAATATTAAAATGTCATCCCATGAAAGTAACGGGTTACTATCCCCTTGCTAATGATCGGCCTTCTCCCTAACTCACCTTCAGTTAGTTATTAATTATTATTTATATTATTTATATCATATTTTGTTTAATAATTATTTTATTTCCTAGGTACTTAATAAGTTTAAATTTGTCACACAAAATTAGTTTGGAACTAACACGAAAACAAATCAAATTTTTGGTAAAAAATTGCCGTAGAATTAGATACATAACATTAAACAATATATATATATATATATATATATATATATATATATATATATATATATATATATATATATATATAAAACTAACATATTTCACAGAATCACAAAAAAAAATTATGATCAGTCCCATTCATAACCTAAGGGTCCCCATGACACTTGCGGCATTTCTGCAGTTCCGCATGTATCATATTATATTAATTATTATTTATAAAAAATAATTAAAGTGCATTATAATTGATTACTCGAATAACTCGAACTAGTATTCGAGTCAGCCAAACTGGGCACATCACTAGTCATGCAGTCTTGACCATACCGTGAAGGCTGGCAAAAAGTGTCATCACACGAGTGTGTATGGGTCGTTTAGCCCAAGTACACCACCGTGACTGGCCACAATAGCTTAGAAATCAGGTCGGCTAATTATTTTTTGGATATTTCCGCTTGTAACTAACGTGTGTCATTGAAATTCTTGGAAGTTTATTTATTTATTTATATTATTGCGTACATTAAAACATGTCTACAGGGCGGACTGATGGTATTCTCTACCTGTTAACCGTTACGATAAACAGAGAGAGCAAATGGCGGTTTTATGCAACTTAGAATGGCAAACAAGCTGACAGCCCACCTGATGGAAAGTGGTAACCGTCACCTATAGACATAAGCAGTACCATGGACATAACAGATTATATTGTTTCGCCCGTCATACCCCCCATGCGTTGCCATTTCTGAGTACTCAGGTATTACTCCTCTGTACCCAGTAAATTCACTGCCATATCCCACCCTTCAAACCGAAACACAGCCATGCAAACACAACTGCCTCACGGTAGAAACTTATTTCTTGAGGAAGGTTATAGACCATTCAAAACCACGATACGAGATAAAGCCGCAGTTTGCAACTAGTATTAAAATAAATAAATAAATAAAACTTTAAAATCCTTCTTTTAAAAACCTATACCATCGAATCTAGTTGAGTGAAAGTATATTTGAATATCCATTGTAAAACTTCCGTCCGTTTGTCACGTAACATTTAAACAATGATGCGTTAATTCGAAAAGGTTTTGCAACAACGACAGTGCCTTCTTTCGCCGACAGATGGCGTGGTGTGACGTCAAATAGATTTTTTAATATAAATACTTCTAAAAGGAACAAGAAGGAACAATTCAAATTCAATTTTTTTTTTTTACCATTGTGGTGGCAAACAAGCATACGGCCCACCTGATGGTAAGCGGTTACCGTAGCCTATGAACGCCTGCAATACCAGAGGTATTACGCGCGCGTTGCCGACCCTGAAGAAACCTCTTTACCCCCCTTTTGAAGAACCCCATGCTGTAGTCTCTCGGGAAAACCTCGGCAGGGAGCTCATTCCATAACCTGAGTGTTCGTGGGAGAAAGCATCTCTGAAACCGCGTTGTACGCGACCATTTAGGCTGTAAGGTATGAGGGTGAACTCCCTGTCGATGGCGAGCCGTACGATGATAGACGATGGCACTTCGTCACGATGGGCTAACTGACCTACTTCATCCTCACTGGTGCCCCGCCGGTGTATACCGATAGCGCGGGTGGGGTTGCATTTCCAATATCATCCATTAAAAAAAAACCGCATACAATCCGATGCAATAATTTTTGTATGATACCACAAAAAAAAAACATATAAACGGATAAAAAAAATTAAAAAATTACTGTTCTAGTCTCTATTGCTCTTATTAAAAAAATGCCTTATATCAAAATTTCTTCAAAAACTACATAAAGTACAGACCAGTTGAGAAATTCCTCCTTTTCGAAACCACTTAAAAATAGGTCATAAATGTAAATACATAGTAAATCGCAGGAAATCTCTAATAATAATTATCCGAGTCACAACAATTTTGAGCCATTTTGTTATTTAAAACGACCTCGCTTGACGCGTGATGTATGTACGGACGGATGTCTTATTATATATATACTATATTAATTGCATACATCTTTATATAACGAAGGATAGACTAAATAGTTACCTTTACAGATAGTTCTCTTATAGATAGACTAGATGTTTAATCTTACAGATGGTTCTCTTATAGATAGACTAGATAGTTTCTCTTACAGATAGTTCTCTTATAGATAGACTAGATGTTTAATCTTACAGATAGTTCTCTTATAGATAGACTAGATGTTTAATCTTACAGATGGTTCTCTTATAGATAGACTAGATAGTTTCTCTTACAGATAGTTCTCTTATAGATAGACTAGATGTTTAATCTTACAGATAGTTCTCTTATAGATAGACTAGATAGTTTCTCTTACAGATAGTTCTCTTATAGATAGACTAGATAGTTTCTCTTAGAGATAGTTCTCTTATAGGCCGACTAGATAGTTTATTTTACAGATGGTTCTCTTATAGACAGACTAGATAGTTTCTCTTACAAATGCTTCTCTTATAGAAAGACTAGATAGTTTTTTTACAGATGGTTCTCTTATAAACAGACAAGATAGTTTCTCTTACAGATAGTTCGCTTATAGATAGACTAGATAGTTTCTCTTACAAATTGTGCTCTTATAAACAGACTAGATAGTTTCTCTTACAGATAGTTCGCTTATAGATAGACTAGATAGTTTCTCTTACAAATTGTGCTCTTATAAACAGACTAGATAGTTTCTCTTACAGATAGTTTGCTTATAGATAGACTAGATAGTTTCTCTTACAAATAGTTCTCTTATAAACAAACAAGATAGTTTCTCTTATAGATGGTTCTCTTATAGGCCGACTAGATAGTTTCTCTTACAGATAGTTCTCTTATAATTGTCTATCTACTAGACCGTTTTCATTTACCAAGCCAACAAAACCATGTGTGTCCGCGTTCCAACAATTTGCATACTATATATTGTATGTATATATGTTGTTTGGTATATATATATATATATATATTACAAACCAAACTGTATGATACAGTTTACCATATAAAGAAGCTCGACAGCAATATACCTTTGTTTCGCCGACTCGCACTTGACCGCTTTTAGTCGCGTCAAAGATCATGACTGTCTGTCTATTTAGGTCACTCATGTGTCTCAAAATGTGGAGCGTCACAAATAATTACCTGTTATAAACGGAGAAGGGCCTATTCACCGTTACCCAACGTGACAAAGTGCAGTTTTGTATAATGTTGTTTTTATACTTGACATATATTTAGTAAGCAATACTAGTATGTCTCTAGGTGGAGGGGGGAGGGATTGTTAGTAATGCCAATAGTAATAATAGTAGTACCTTATCAGGTCGATCTTCATTCATTTCATGGTCCCCTAGCCTAGAAATCATAATAATCATAGGAATGCAGATAATTTGATAGTTCTTCACTTCTTCTTCTTACCCTTATCACAATTATTATTTGTGGTCAGCGTAATATGTTTTTTATCTATATTACAAAATGATTCTTATAGTTTCACGACCGGCCGCCTGCCTGACGTCAACCCTTTTTGGGAATGCATTTGTTGATGGTTTTCGCCACCTACGGTATGGAGGATTGAGGAAAAAATGAAGGGAACGTTGGAAATGCTTAAAGGGAATTGGTAAATAAGAGGAATAAAGGGATATTTGGGAAAGGAAACGGGGGGACACACTGCAGTTGCGGAAAGGACTGGGGCACTGCAGCGCCTCGGGAGACCGGCGTCGTATACACGTATGCCCTTATTCTAGAATCGGACAGATTTCTAGAGAAGAACACCCCTGACGCGATGAGATAATTTGATAGCACTTTATATGTTATTTTCAAAAATTCTGTCTACCCTTTTTTTAAACAACTTAGAATGGCAAACAAGCCGACGGCCCACCTGATAGAAAATGGTAACCGTCGCCTATAGACATGAGCAGTACCGTGGACATAACAGAGTATACTGTTTCGCCCATGATACCCCCATGCGTTGCCATTTCTGAGGACTCAGATGTTATTCCTCTGTACCCAGTAATTTCACGCCATATCCCACCCTTCAACCCGAAACATAGTCATGCAAACACAACTGCTTCAGGGTAGAAACACGAACGAGACAGAGGTACCCAAGCAATCGACTTTTGTACAGTCTCCCTCCGGTGCGTGCGAAGCCGGGCCGGATCACTAGTTTAAAATGAATTCTTTCTTTCTTTACAGGGTACGAATACAAACACAGCTGAAGCGGTGCAGTTCCTTCGAGAATATGACAGGGAAGCTTCTGGAATGTGCTACAGGTACAAAAGGATTTAATTTTTTTTTTTTTTTATTGAACTTACTCTCTGTTGTTTCCTCTATAAGATAGTAAACTTATTATAAATACGAACAATTACAAGAAAATATTACACTGAGAAAACAATGGACGACCTTATCGCTAAGAGCGATCTCTTGCAGGCAACCTTCGGATGGAGAGCAGTTTACAAACAGTTTGACTGGAGACACGAAACTCTGTTCGTTTTTACAATCCCAGATACCGCCCAATTACAATCTAGAATATAAAAATGAATCGTTGAATGTGTTGCTAAGCGCAAATCTCGAGAACAGCTGAACCGACTTTGCTAATTCTTTTTTTAAGTATTCCTTGAAGTACGAGGATCGTTCTTGCGGAGTGAAAAATTTAAAGGTTTGCCTGAAAAAGTCTAAATACAACACTGTTCTATACTCCCATACAAACGATTCATAATAATGTTTAAAAGTCAATTTGAACCTTAATACCATACCATAAAGTTCAAGTGTTAGTAGAAAGGTTTCTGGAAGGCAAAAAAAATTAAGTGACGTTACTATCGTATAAATATTAATGTCAACATTTTGTTGACTTGTTAACCTTCTTTTTTCTTTTTATATCTTTTTTTTATACAACTTAGAATGGCAAACAAGCTGACGGCCCACCTGATGTAAAGTGGTAACTGTCGCCTATAGACATGAGCAGTACTATGGACATAACAGAGTATACTGTTTCGCCCATGATACCCCCCATGCGTTGCCATCTTACTTATCTTACTAGCTGACCCGGAAAACCTTGTTTTATTATATACATAATTTCTAGATAATATTTTTTTAGTTAAATAAAAAATAGCTAACACTGATTAAGGTAAAAACAAACCAAAAACAAACGATATGAGAACCTCCTTCTTTTTGAAGTCGGTTGAAAATTAGCATCTTCAAAATCCTTTTTTTCTATCCATTTCAGAGTAACAATGTCCCAATGGAAATTCGTCACCAACATTACCGAGTACAACCGGCGCCGGATGCTGGAGGAGCTGGCCCTCAGCTCCAAGTTCGAGAGGCTCTCCTGGAGGAAAGCTGCCGCTTACGACTCCACAAGACTCCCGGACCCTCAGAACAGGAGGCAGCTGGTCAAGATTGTCCAATCGAGCCGTGCTGCTTTACCTGATGAAAAATTTTCTGAGGTTAGCTCACATAATGTAAATAAATTATTTTTTTATACATCGTATTGGAGTTGATCGTAAAGTCGCGTGACTAAATCCAAAATAAGGATATCCCCAGAGGAACCAAAGTGACCGACATAGCCCGAAGGGTAAGCAAGCTGAAGTGGCAACGGGCTGGTCACATAGCTCGATGAACCGACAACCGATGGGGAAGAAAGGTTCTTGACTAGCGATCCCTTGTCAAACGGCGAAATAGCTAATGTAGGACGACCATCACTAGATGAAGTGACGACCTAAAAGGCTTTACAAGAAATCAATGGATGCAGGTAGCTTAGAAACATTCCTTATGGAATGGATTTCAGCAATGAAGAGACAGCGACTGACGCGATAATGATGATACATCGTATATCCAACATCATACTTCGCTCCCAAATTGGCATTAAAGACATCGGCCAGAAGTCGGTCAAACCTAAATGGGCAAAGATCTCCACCCAATGGGTGCTTGATTTTGGAAGTGGCTTTAAACTAAAAGAAGTGGTTGTTATCTTTGCTAAATATTAACGGCTTCGCATCCGCCCCGACTTCGCACGGGTGCACAGATAAAAAAAAAATAAAGATAAATTAATACTTTACCATTTCAATCATTTCTTTTTATTTCAGATACAGCAACTTATTACTGAGATGAAAGAAATTTATAATTCGGCAAAAATATGCCCCTACGGCCAAAAGCCATATGACCCTCATGTTCCAAGACCACCAACCTATCCCGATTACCAGCAAATGCAGAGCTACCAACCAACCATGCAATCTTACCAGCATTACCAAGCCAACCAAGACAACCCGGAGCTCGCCAACTACTGCGATATGCAGTTGGATCCAGAAATATCGAGGATCCTAGCACATTCGAGGATTGAAAGCGAACTGTTGTATGTATGGAAGAGTTTCCGTGATAAAACTGGACCCAAATTGAAGAATCGATTCATGAGATACGTACAGTTAGCCAATCAGGCAGCTGTAGCTACAGGTAATTGTCAAAATCTATGTGTTTGCCGTGTGGTCCCGGCATAGAATAGGCCACCCCTTCCTTTCCCGTGGGTGTCGTAAGAGGCGACTAAAGGAACTTAATGATAGAGGAATGGGCAGCAGCGTTCCTCTCAAACCATCACAAAGGCCTAACTTCAGGGGAAAACGAATTGTTAATAATGCGGACTATCAGTCCCATTGCTAGCAATACATCCTGGCAGGTCGACCTCCACGTGGTTCTGGATACCATCGTGCTAAATTCCAGATGTATTCATCACGATGGACTAACAGATCCGCCTTTTAATTCTCACATATTATCCCTCACTGATGTCCTGCTAGCGTATCCCATTAGCACAGACGAGGTTGCTATTACATTATCATCCATTAAAAAAAGGCCTAACTGCGATTGCCAACCCGCCTACCAAGCGTGGAAAATATTGGCTAAAGCCCTCAATAGACGGAGGCCTAAATAATGATAATCCCGCTTGCGCTATCGGTATACGCTCAAGGGGCACCAGTGATAGACGATACGTGAGGACCAAAGGAGGTCAGCTAACCTATCTCGACGAAATTCACAAGAATTAACGACAATGGTTTTCGGGAGAAACTGCGTGGAACTCGACCTGTTAGGGTATATTGCTAGCATCATGGTTAATTCATCACGATCAGCTAACTAACCTGCTTTCATCGTCACCTATCATCCCTCACTGATGTCCCGCCAGCATATACCGATAACGCAGGCGGAGTTACTATTCCGTTATCATCCATTAAAAAATATGCTTCATGACGGTAACCGCTTATCACCAGGTGGTTCGTATGCTTGTTTACTACTTCAGTGGTATTACATTTACAATGTGGAAAGGGCTTTCAGGTTGCAAAAAAGAGCAATTAGAACTATCGCTCGGATTCCGCAGTGGCAGTCTTGCAGGACTTTTTTCACAAAATATAGTATTCTTACTGTACCCGGTTTGTATGTATTGATTGTGGTTACAGACTATGTTAAGAATCGTCTGCCAAATGAAACGAGAGAAGAGAGAAATATACGCATGATTTCTAGACGAAAAAATGTTGCATATGATGTCCAACCAAAACTAAATATAGTGAAACATGGCGCAAAATTTCAAGCGGTTAAATTGTATAATAAATTACCCACTGCATTAAAAACTATTAAAGATTGGAGAATTTTTAAAATAAAACTTTATACTCTTTTGTTGGAAAGGTGCATCTACTCAATTGATGAATTTTAAAATACTCTTTCATTATTTTATGCCTTACTGATGACTTTTAAATTGATTGTAATGTTATTTTTTGACAATTATTATTGGTTATTTTGTTGTTTCATGTTTTTTTTTTGTTTTGTTATATTTTACGATATCTTCTTGTCACTTGCAAAAATATTCAACACAATGCAATATTGTAACGAATAAAATAAATTGAATTGAATTGAATTAAAAAAAAAACATATACTCGACTACAGTCACTTTTTCTGCTTCACCAGGGTACAGAGACGCCGGGGACCAAATGAGAGCAGCCTACGAAGATTCCTCATTCCGAGCCAGTGTTGAGGAGATCTACAACCAGGTGGTGCCACTGTACAAGCAGTTGTTTACTTATGTGAGGAGGAAACTGGTACAAAGATATGGAGAGACCAGCGTGAGGAGTGATGGTCCCATTCCGGCTCACTTACTTGGTAATGCTAGAACTTTTATTACAATCACACCAAATGCCTAGTCCTCAAGCTTTAATAGAAACCTCTTTCACGCAAAGCGTTAAGCTTACCACGGCATCACGAAGGTTATTAAGGCTTATGTCATAGACTTCTAGAAGAATCTTCGAAGATTTTGCGAAAAATTTATACCAGAGGGAGTACAAAGGTCGTTTGCTTGAACGCTTCTGTCCCATTTGTGTTTCTACCGCAAAGCAGTTGTGTTTGCATGACTTTGTTTCGGTTTGAAGGGTGGGATATGGCAGTGAATTTACAGGATACAGAAGATAACACCTGAGTCCTCGGGAATGGCAACGCATGGGGGGTATCATCGGCGAAACAGTATACTCTGTTATGTCCATGGTACTGCTCATGTCTATAGGCGACGGTTACCACTTTCCATCAGGTGGGCCGTCAGCTTATTTGTCATTCTAAGTTGTATAAAAAAAGAAATAAAGTCGGATCAGATGGCCCATCCTAACGAATTCATCAGCAAAGCCCATAGTTTCCAGGAGAGATCACATAGAGAGGTCGGGGCTATATTGCTAGCACTAAGACTGCTCGTTTCCTTTGCTGATAACCTCTTCCGCCGACAAAATCTAAATACTTTTCCCAATAATTACCTGCTTAAAAATATAAATATTTGCTTTATTTCAGGAAATATGTGGGCCCAAAACTGGAAGTCCATTATGGATTTGGTGATGCCGTTTCCTCAATCTTCTAATATCGACGTTACAGCCGAGATGCTCCGTCAAGGATTCACTCCTTTACGGTAAGTTCGCCATTAACGTTGGATCTAAGAGAAGACAGGGAAATAAGACGAGCAAATACCCAGGTACTTGACTACGTAGTGACGGACTAGAAGCCCTGGACGTCAAAGCTGAATGAGGCCCCCAGTTCAAGAAGTTGATGTAATTTTTATTTCATATTTGTATAAATCATCATCATCATCATCATATCAGCCTTTAACTGATTGTTGAACATAAACCTCCCCCTTGGAGGATTTTGCCAGTAGTTGCCACACTTGGCAGACAGATTGGCAACCGTAGTTAGGATTTAGATATGTTTTAAGAGGGATGCTGCTGCCCATCGCACGCTCTCCCTTAATCGCCTCTTACGACACCCACGTGAAAGGAAGGGGTGGCCTATTCTATGCCGGGACCACACAGCCATATGTATAAATACATATATATATATATATATATATATATATATATATATATATATATATATATATATATATATAATGTCTTTATAATTATTTAGTTAAAATCTTGGAAGTGTAATTTAAATTAGACTTAAACATACATGGAATATGGGCATGTATAAGGAAAATGGAAGTGTTTGGAAGGCCCCCAGGCCAGAGTGCTGGCTATCCTGCCACTGTGACTGCGGTGCAAAGATCCTAAGATTCTATTCCAGCTTAATCCTCTACTTTCCCAAACTCATGTTTAGATAAAACGTGCTCAATCTGAGAGAGAAGTCAAAAATCTCCAGAACCGGCGTAAGCGTATGAGACCATTTATGAAAATGCAGGAAGCAATGTCTGATGATGCAGGAGGAGAAATGATGCAAGAGTAAATGTCTTTGGCATTCGATTCTCTCTGCCAACCCCGCAAAGGATTTGCCATGAAGACAGATAGAATATGTGGGCCATTTGAAAATGATTGTCCCTTTAAGCTCAGAATTTTCAGAGGACAAGTAAAGCCTTCAATTGGTAAGCCGTGTCAGAGACATCCACATATAACGAAAACCTAACAACTCTTTATACTAGAGGGCGCTTCCTTTGCAGTAGTAGTAGTGTAATATCTATTCGTTGGAATATAAACCTTTTACGTTCCAGAATGTTTCAAATGGCTGAAGAGTTCTACACGTCAATGGGTCTGAAGCCAGTGCCCCCAGAGTTCTGGCGGGGGTCCATGCTGGTCAGGCCAGCACAGCGCAGTGTCCAGTGTACAGCTAGCGCTTGGGACTTCTGCAACAGGATCGATTACAGGTTAGCCTATTTTCAATTTGTCAATATTACCAACTGGTAAACTCTTGTCTTGTTCTAAACTTTTTGATCACGTCTTTTCCAACTGGCCAGTTTTGTCTATGCTTTTGTTTACTAACATGATTCCCTACTTCGTATGCGTGGATTTTAGAAGAAAACCAATGATTTAAATGACTTCTACATGATATATCATGACGAAACATGCACCAGATTTTAAGTTAAACCTTCAGGATTATAAAATAATTTTGTAATAATGATTTACATTACCATATTAGCTGTTAACTGTCCGTTGCTGATCATAGGTCTCCCACACGAGGGTTTTGCCAGTAGATAGATAGATAATTTATTTGCATTACTTACAGCACACAAATAACAATACAAACATACACATAATACACAGTAAAAGAGATAAAAGAATGAAAAACAAAATAGCAACAAAACAAAAAAAAACAATATATATAAACTAACAATCTCCTTTCCTTCCCTTCCTTCACGCGTGTGCCATAGTAACACAAAATGGTCACAACTCAGTTTATTGCTTTGCCCTCAAAAGAGCAAAACACTGATATTCTGTTGTGGCCAAGAGTCAGTCGCGAAATTCCTTATTAAAAATAATAATATAAAGAAATATGAATAAAATACATTGTGTACAGTAGTTCCCACGTTTGGTAAAAGGGATCTAGCAACCGTCGCTAAGCCTTGGTCATGTTTTAAGAAAGATACCGTTGCCTGTCCCTCGAGCATTAAGTTCCCTTACTCGCCTCTTACGACACCCACGGGAAATGAAGGGATAGATAGATAGATAGATACTCTTTATTGTTTCCTCCATAAGATTACAATAGTAAACTTATTATAAATATAAACAATTACAAGAAATAATCACAATGAGAAAACAATGGGCGACCTTTTCGCTAAGAGCGATCTCTTTGAGGCAACTTTTGGATGGAGAGGAGTAATTATAAACAATTTGATTTAATTTTAATTTAGGGATTGCCCATTCTATGCCAGGAGCACACGGCAGACATTTTTTTTTTATTAAAACTTAGAATGGCAAACAAGCTGACGGCCCACCTGATGGAAAGTGGTAACCGTCGCCTATAGACATGAGCAGTACCATGGACATAACAGAGTATACTGTTTCGCCCGTGATACACCTCATGCGTTGCCATTCCTAAGGATTATCTATATTTATATAGAATTAGTCAGTACACAGAAGTGGCTATCCATAGTAAGAGTTCCATTTAGTATATAACTAGATGGCGCTATTCGTAACCAACTTTTTTTTTCTATTTACATAGAATCAAGCAATGCACAGAGGTGACAATGCAAGACCTAATCTCCACACACCACGAGATGGCACACGTACAGTACTACCTTCAGTACGCTGACCAGCCGCAGATGTTCAGGGACGGAGCTAACCCCGGTAAGAGCCACCAGAGGGAGACTGTAGCGATATAGTCTATTTCAGTAGAACTTATAGAGAATGTAAACAAAGCAATTGACGTAAGATATAAGACAGTCTGCCTTTTTTTTATACAACTTAGAATGGCAAACAAGCTGACGGCCCACCTGATGTAAAGTGGTAATCGTCGCCTATAGACATGAACAGTACCATGCACATAACAGAGTATACTGTTTCGCCCATGATACCCCCCCTGCGTTGCCATTCCTGAGGACTCAGGTGTTATTCCTCTGTACCCAGTAAATTCACGCCATATCCCACCCTTCGAACCGAAATACAGCCATGCAAACACAACTGCTTCACGGTAGAAACACGAATGGGACAGAGGTACCAAAGCAATCGACTTTTGTACAAAGTCTCCCTCTGGTACAACTTTTTATGCAACTTAGTACTCTCTCTGGTACAAAGAACTTCTACATTTACTTTATTTTATAAATTTTTACATCTTTTTCAATGCGTAATAACTCATTTTATTTATTAAATAATTAAATATATGTAATAAATGTGAAGATATATATATATATATATATATTTTTAAAGATGGTTTAATATTATTGTTAAACTAGCTGACTCGGCAAACGTTGTTTTACCATATACATTATTTCTAGAACTATACATGAAAATTTATCCCACTACAATTATTATATTCGATCGCCATCTTGCAACCCTATTGCGGCATATAAAAATCGCGATTAAAAAACAGCAGTTGATTGTAAAAGCGTGAAAATTTGAAGTTGTATGTATTTTTCAATACTAAATCATAGTAAAGTAAAAATAAAAAAAAAAATCGAAAAAATGAAAAAAAAAATTTTGGGTATGGGTCACCCTTATCATTGAGGGGTATGAAAAATAGATGTTGGCCGATTCTCAGACCTGCCGAATATGGACACAAAATTTCATAAAAATCGGTAAAGCCGTTTCGGAGGAGTTTGGTAACAAACACCGCGACACGAGAATTTTATATATAAGATTAGATAATACAATTGTCAATGTTGCAGCTTTCCACGAGGCGGTAGCCAATGCTGTCACGCTATCGGTCTACAATTTGCCACATTTGCAACGAGTTGGGCTTTATCAAAACAAGTAAGTACTATTATTATTAAGAGAATAAATAGATAGATAGTTTATTTATTTATTTATTTATTAAACTTTAATACACCTGGATAGTGTATAGGGCGGACTTAACACACATATAGTTTTATCTACCAGTCGACCGTAGACAGGAATAACAGAAATATCATGGGGAGTGCTCTGAGGAATTGTTCGGATTGATACCTGCTGTTGATTTTCACCACCGTACAACCCGCCACAAACTAAAGTTTCATCCCAATCATCTGGACGAGTGGCGGTCTTCCACCGTGCGTTTTTCAAGGCACTTTCTCCCACGCACAACCACTCTTTGGAATCAACTTCCAGCAGCAGTATTTCCGAACCGATACGACAACATAACCTTCAAGAAAAGAGCATATTCTTTTTTAAATATATATATATATATAGTGTTTGTGTGTGTGTGTATGTGTTTGTGAATGAATAAACTCAAAAACTACTAGACCGATTTCAAAAATTCTTACAACTATAGAAAGCATTATCAGGGAGTAAAATAGGCTATAATATATTGTTTTCGAAAACTCTATCTATATTTTTATACCAGTATTTCCGAGCAAATACACCACAAAAAAGCCGGCTTCAATTGTGAGAAAACCATTCTAAAAACAAATCTACTGTATACAATACAATCCCCCCCCCCCTTTCCTAGATTTTTTTTTTTAATGCGGGGTACCAGTGAGGGATGACAGGTGAAAATGACATGGCAGATCAGTTAACACATCGTAATAAATACACCTGGAATTCAGCACGATGGTCTCCAGAGCTGAACACGGGGAGGCCGACCTGACATGGTATATTGGTAGCAATGTGGCTGGTAGCCTGTATTACTAACAATCCCCCCCCTCCAACCCCGATACCGTTCCCCCCTCCTCGATATGATCAGGTACTATTACTTTCACAGAAGCCACGACCCGTACGAAGTGAGCATGAACTTCCTCATGACTATGGCGCTGGAGAAGGTGGCGTATTTACCATTCGCCTTTATGGTTGACCAGGTAAGGGTTTTTTCATGGGTCTTAATTGAATTGTGTGGTCCCGGCATAGAATAGGCCACCCGTTCCTTTCCCGTGGGTGTCGTAAGAGGTGACTAAGGGAGGGCGAGGGATGGGTAGCAGCGTCCCTCTTAAAACATCTCTAAAGCCTAACTGCGGTTGCCAAACCGCCTGTCAACCGTGGCAAGTACTAGCAAAACTCCCCAAGGGGGAGGCTTTAGTTCAACAGTGGACAGGTAAGGAGACTTTGTACAAAAGTCGATTGCTTGGGTATCTCTGTCCCATTCGTGTTACAACCGTGAAGCAGTTGTGTTTGCATGGCTGTGTTTCGGTTTGAAGGGTGGGATATGGCGATGAATTTACAGGGTACAGAGGAATAACATCTGAGTCCTCAGGAATGGCAACGCATGGTGGGTATCATGGGCGAAACAGTATATTCTGTTATGTCCATGGTACTGCTCATGTCTATAGGCGACGGTTACCACTTCCCATCAGGTGGACCGTCAGCTTGTTCGCCATTCTAAGTAGCATAAAGTAAAAGAATGAATTCAGACCAGTTGGCACATCATGACTTCACCGGGAATTAAACGATGGATTTCAGAACCGTGGAGATCGACCTGACAGGGTACATCGCTAACAATGGGGCCACTAGTCCCCATTATTATTAATTATTGATAATTCCTTCCCTCCTTTGACAGTGGCGCTGGTCGGTGTTCGAAGACGGTGTTCAGAACATGAATACAAGATGGTGGCAAATGAAACTGCGGTATCAGGTAAATATATAAAATTTAATATTTATCTATTTATTTCATCAACTGGGTGAGCTTTCCAGTCTTGGGAGACTTGAACCCAGGGAAGCATCAGTACAATATCACATACTTCTACATCTAAACTAATATTATAAAGAGGAAAGATTTGAATTTTTGTGTGTATGTATGTTTGTAATGAATAAACTCAAAAACTACTTCGCCTATTAGAAATAATAAATAAATACGAGTATACCTAGAGTGCAGTAAATAGGATATATATTAATTTGTTACTCGATTATATTGCTTCAAATTAGTGTAAATAGCACGACTATATACGTAGTAGTTCAAGTGTAAAGTGAGTGGAATAAGTATACAAGTCATAGACCGCAACTACCTACCTACACAGTTAATCATTATACGTATTTTATGTTCACAATTTCAAAAGTTTATTAATTGTTGAAAGTGTAAACAACCTATCACGACAGTTTGTCATCACACAACGCGAAATATTGTGCAGCTTTCTATTTTGTGAACGTACTTCTATCAATATCGGAGTTTGTTCGGCCTCTGCTGATTGCTTCACCGCATTTTCTAGCATTATAGCTTCGGCACCAATTTACTGTCGGGATGTCTTCTGGAGTGATGCGATGTGCTGGATGTTTTAAGAAAATCGAGAATAATCTGTTTTTGAGCTGCAGCATCTGTAAACAAGCTTACGATCTCCATTGTGCTAATGTGGCCGAGAAATCATTCTGCAATGCCATGTCACACGAGCATCGTGCCGCATGGAAGTGCCCCTTATGTGTCAGTAAACAGCCTAAAACTGACAATACTGATACGCCAGTTCGTACTGTGACTCAAGGGGTTATGACTCGTAGAGGAGCTGCCGCAGTCAGTCCAGTGGATCAGCTCAACATGTCTATCGTGTCGGATGCCCCTATGCGCGGGGATTTAGATGATATAACGGACACACAGATGCTGGCGCTCGAGATACGTCGTTTCAGAGAAGAGTTGTCTGCATCACGAATCCAAATGCAATTACTCAATGAGAATATGGCTAGGTTGTCGACAGGGCTGGATAATTGCAATGCCCGCGTTGATCGACTGTCTATTCGTGTTGACAATTTAGAACGTCAGATCTGCGAGGGTAGCTCGAGTGCTACATCATGTGAGGATACGCTGATGAAGGCTATTGAGCAGCTTAAAGCAGAACTAAATGATCGGGACCAGGAACTCCTTCTCAATGACATTGAAATATCTGGTGTCCCGGAGCAGAAAGGTGAAAATGTGACACATGTTACACTAACGCTGGCAACTAAATTAGGAATTAAACTGTCTGAGGAGGATGTGGTTAGTGCGTCACGAGTGGGGTCGGTGCTGAGGACCTCGGATGGACCCACACACCAACTACGGCCCCGGCTTATCGTGGTTCGGTTGGCCAGGCGTACTCTGCGTGATCAGTTCCTTCATGAAGCCCGTATACGCCGCGGTGCCACCACCGGGGACGCTGGCCTTCCTGGCCCATCTTGTAGATTCTATGTAAATGAGAGACTTACTAGAATTAACCGTTATGTGTTTCATCAGGCCCGTGATGTCGCTAAGCGGTGTGGTTGGAGGTTTGTTTGGACTAGAAACGGTAAAATTTTTGTGCGTCATAATAATGAAAATGGTACTGTTCGTCACCGTATCGGCTCAGTACCTGATCTTGTGAGGGTTTTTGGACAGGACAATGTTAGTTCAATTAAAATCTAGTAATAATACAATTATTGGTCATTTTAGCATTGAATTATTGTATAGCTACTTGTTCTGTGCGGTGGCGGAGGGGGTTAATATTAATATTTTCAGGCCATTTATTTGTATTATTGACTGCCACATATTTATAAATTTACAAATTTTGATATTAAGTTTTTATGATTTTTATTACACAGTCATAACAGGCCCTAATAAACAAATTATATGTACTTATTATAAATATGAATTCAATCGCTTTAATCTACTTAGTACTATTATTGTAGTAGCTAATATTTTACCTCATTATATACGCCGACTGTATAAATGCACTGTGAAATGCTACATGCTCGTAATCATTATCTTACTAATATTTTATTCGCCAATTTCTTACAAAGTTATAATAACATGTTTTAAAATAATATATCAATGCTTCTGTTATACTTGTGAATTGTTTAATTTACTACCTCTTAGAGCTGTTACAATAGACGAAATAAATATCTGCATATGTGTGATGCAGCTATTTAAATACACTATATGTCGGCACATTATATTCTTTTTGATAATTATATTTACGACTATTTACTTTAATCTCATAAAAAGGAAATTTAAGAGAGGATATGGATATTTTTTTATTTTTTATTTACCGATTGATCTGTTAGTATTTATTATTATTTGTTATCAGAATGTGTGTTATGCCAATTATGTCACAAACATGTATATATATCAAAAACCATCATGTTATTTGTTAATCTATTATTTGTTATATATTTGTGACAATACTATATATGTAATCCTGACAAAAATCTTACTTTTATCGTTTTTTACTTCTTACAAATATACCGCAATAATGTATGCTGTAACAGCAATGCAAAATTATAGGGAAGGAAACCATCACAGTACAATGTTGCTCCTGATGTATCGTGCGCTCTCGTTTGTATTACCTGATATTATACGAGTATTCCACACTAACTTTTTTACCATGCTTAAATGTAACAGCAAGCACACATGTATTACTGTCACTCGTCGAATGGCATCCCTAACAGTCACTTACCTACTATGTGAGTATTTATTTATTTACATATATTTACAGAAATACCCACATATCAGCAAATTAATCATTATATTATTTATACTCAAATACCCTTATTGTATTTATGTATTTATCTTTTTGTACCGTACTCGGCCTAATCCCTAAAAATAAATACCTCAAATTAGGTCTTTACAATGCCGGCTCGTTAAATACAGGTCATGATAATTTCCAAGTGGCTATGACACAGTATAATGCTGACATAGTCGCAATAAATGAAACTTGGCTGCGACCGGGCCAGGAGGGATGCGCACCCGCTGTACCTAATTACCGACTGCTTAGTACTCCTCGCCCTACGAGAATGCGTGGCGGCCGAGGAGGAGGTGTAGCATTTTACGTCAAGCGTGAACTCCGTGTACGTATTCTTAAGCATCCGGAAGCAGATATTGAACAAATGTGGCTATCTATGTGCGTTAATGGATATAAAATTCTTATAGGAACCGCTTACAGACCACAATGGGTCAATTTAGATATCTTTTTGGATTCCTTTACGGAGTCAATTTCGTGTTTCTCCAACCATGATTATGTCGTATTGCTAGGTTACTTTAATGTTAATATGTTGGACACATTGTACTGTAATACTTCAAAAATAATTCAGTTTCTGCATTACACTGATCTTAAGCAAGTAGTTAATGAACCTACCCATTTTTCAACAGAAACAGAAACTCTAATAGATTTAGTATGTACAAATGCCGTAGTCCGTGAAGTCTCTGTTAATACCATACAAGACTCACTTGGACATGCTATGATTAACGTGGTACTCTCCTTGAAAAAAACAAAATCCTCACCCAGTGTTATTACTTATAGACCCATAAAGAATATTGATTTTGACAATTTTAATCGCGATTTAAATTCTATTGATTGGGAAGGTATTGGCGAGCTTCCGTCTGTCGATGCTATGGTTGATAGATTTAATACAACGATTAAATCATTGTATGATAAATATGCTCCAGTTAAAACACGAGTCATTAAGGATAATAAGTCTTTGCCATGGGTTACTGACAACTGTAGGCGGATGATGGATTTACGTAATGCTGCATACGATAAATATAGACGGTCAGGTTCAGAGGTCCATAAAAGTTATTACCTAGTTTTGAAGAAGTTAGTAAAGAGTAGTATAGCTAATGAAAAGAAAGCATATTTTAATTATCATCTAAATTCTCAAATTGACAATAGTAAGAGTTTCTGGAAAGCTCTTAAAAATAAAATATTAGTTGATCCCGGCAAGAGTGATTCTCTCCCTTCGTCTTTTGATAATCCTGATGCAATTAACTCTCATTTTCTTAATATTCCTAATATACGCACTGTCCCTAATTCTGTTATAGACTTTTTTAAAAATCATCAGTTCTCAAATAATAATAAATCTTTTAGGTTGCAACCTGTACACGAAAGCGAAGTTGCTACTTATATAACATCTTTAAAGTCAAATTCGCTTGGGTCAGACGCCATTAATAGAGATATGATACTGCTTACTCTTCCTCGAACACTAAAAATTATTACAGCCATTATTAATAAGTCCATCCTCAATAATGCCGTCCCCCAACAATGGAAAGAAGCGTTGGTTACCCCATTGCCCAAAGTTACTGAACCAACTGAATTCAAAGATCTCAGGCCTATAAGTATCTTGCCTTTTTTATCGAAAATCTTGGAGAAGGTCGTACATAAACAGTTAGTGAAATATGTGGAATCGAACAACATTCTACCAGAATTTCAGTCAGGGTTTCGTAAGGGGCGGGGTACAGTAACTGCACTACTAGATGTTACTGACAATATATTATCTGCAGAGGATAATGGGTGTGGTACTATCTTGGCGCTATTGGATTTCTCGCGCGCATTTGATAGTATTAATTTATCGCTTTTACTCTCTAAGTTGTCTTATTACGGTGTAGATCCTCTTTCGATTGGATGGTTCGAAAGCTATTTAAAAGGTAGACGTCAATCAGTTAAACTTGTTAAAGCCAATGGACATTACTTAATTTCTGAATCTAAATTGGTTGATTGTGGTGTCCCTCAGGGCTCTATCCTGGGGCCGTTACTGTTTTCATTATATTGTACTGATCTTGTTAATGTGATAAAGTACTGTAGATATCACTGTTATGCTGATGACGTTCAGTTATATATATCTGAATCACCTGAAAATATTCCGTATGCCGTGTCAATGATAAATGAAGATATGGATAAAATCGCAGAGTGGTCAAGCAAAAACTCCTTAGTACTTAATCCAGATAAATCAAAATGGATGATTTTAGGAACCAAGAAACAAGTGGTTAATATCTTAAACAATAATCCATCTTTATGTATCTTGGGCAGAAATATAGAACGCGTGAAGGAAGCTAAAAATTTAGGTGTTATATTTGATGAACAATTAAGGTTCGAAAGCCATATTTCGAATGTGGTTAAGAATTGTTTCTATCGTCTAAAAATTTTATACAGAATTCGCCATTTGTTATCGGTTAAAGTTCGCATCACTTTATGCGAGTCCTTAGTTTTATCTAGATTCAATTATGGTGACCTAGTGTACGGCCCTCGTTTACTTCGTAAAACGCAGCGTTTGATACAAAAAGTTCAAAACGCCTGTTGTAGGTTTTCTTTCAACATTTCTCCTCGTAGTCACATTTCACCCTACTTGAATATGGCGTCTATGCTCAATATGGAATCCCGGCGACAATTACATTTAGCTACTTTGTTATTTGGTGTAATGAAATTTAAAAATCCGGAATATCTTCACAGTAAGTTAAAGTTCTCCACTTTTTATGATAGGTATCATTCTAGATCAGTGCGACCACCACTGTCACTTCAATGTCATAAAACTGTGGCATTTACCGGCAGCTTTCGCTATCAGGCCACGAAATGTTGGAATAATATCCCACCGCCCCTCAGAATAATGACATCTTTACATACGTTTAGGAAAAATATTAAAGAAATGCTATTAGAAAAACAAAAATCGGTGGCGGAAGCTGTCTCCCTTTGTACAGTACATTTTTATTCTTCTCCGTCGTAGTACTTAATACACCAATATATGCATACTCATATACACATATGTATTATTTATTTGCGTTTATCTTTTTAGTATATTATAAGGATTTAATTATTATTATGATTATATGTAAGTCTATTTTATTTATATTGTTTATACTGTGTTTAAATTGATTCTTACCCATTTTTTCTCTCATATTTTAGTCTTATTACTTTTCTGTCACACCTTTAACAGACACAATTTAATTCTCTCCATCCTTGGGTTGTCTGGGAGGGATCGCTGTCTGGCGATGGGCATGCCTGCTGTTGCCTCTTTAATATGCTTTTATGTAACTAGTTGTATTTGTATAATTTGGGTATTCATTTTGTTTTGAGTGCTTGAAACTGATAGAAATTAACTTCTGACTACCCTTCTTCTAAATAGCGAGTATAACGAACGCACACTATGTATTTGATCTATATTTCTTTCTTTTTTATTATTTTTTTTTTTAGTGGTATTTCGCGGCTCATTTTTGGCCACAACAGAATATCAGTGTTTTGCTCTTTTTAGGGCAAAGCAAAAAGCTGAGTTGTGGCCATTTTGCATTACTGTGGCACACGCATGAAGAAAAAAAAATTATTATGCATTCTGATTTTGTTTTTGGTTTTTTTTTTTTTTAATCTTTTGTACATGTATCTTTTTTATCTTTTTTCACATTGCTTTTGTGTCTTTTGTTTGTGTGCTGTAAGTTATGCAAATAAATTATCTATCTATCTATCTATCTATCTATTTCAAAAATTCTCTCACCATTAGAAAGCTACATTCACCCTGAGTAACATAGGCTATATTTATTGCTAGAAAAGATTATGGATCCTTACTAAAACTTTAGTAACCTAACTCAAGGTGTATAAAAATGCTATACAATATCTTTGGTCGCGTGCGCTGCGGAAACTATTGGTGATAGAACGAAAGTATGTTCTACAATATTGAAGGAAATATTAATAACTACAAAAAACTCCGCGATACTATATGTCCAACTATTATCGTTATGTCACAATGACCACTTTTTAAAATGTTGTAAAAATGTCCACCCGTGCGAAGCCACACACTAATAGAAATAACGTTAGATTTTAAATCTCTGAACACAAACACTCTGTGGTCTTGCAACAAAACTCCAGCGAGTTGGAGAAAAACACGTCTTTTTTTATGCAACTTAGAATGGCAAACAAGCTGACGGCCCACCTGATGGAAAGTGGTAACCGTCGCCTATAGACATGAGCAGTACCATGGGCATAACAGATTATACTGCCCATGATAACCCCCATGCGTTGCCATTCCTGACATATATATATATATATATATATAGGTATATAATTTCACTACCATAAGTTCATTGTAATTTCTGGTTAGATGTAAAGACATGACACCATAATCATCAGAAATAGTAACACAGTAAAGGGTACGACGTGGGCGTCACAGTGTATACTGTGATGTCTATGGTGCTGAACATGTGTATATTTTTTGTTATTCCTTAATTTTTTTTCTTTCTCTCTCAGGGCGTTGTTCCTCCAATATCCAGATCGGAAGCCGATTTTGATCCTGGCTCGAAGTACCATATCATTTCTGACCAAGTGAGTAATTTTAGCTTTCAATAATCGCCACTAGATGGCGTTACTAGTTCTTATAGTTCTTAGTACTATTCATACGACCACCAAAGTGAGACAATGCTGTATTTTTTATTTATTTTTTAATGAGATGAAAATGTAATGGTAACCCCACTTGCGCTACCGGTATACGATGGAGGGGCATCAGTGAAAGAAGATAGGTGAGGATGCAGTCAGGTCATAACGAATTCATCAAGTATTAACCTGCTAGATTGGGGGGAAAGGGATTGTTAGTAACGGAGACTGAGAATCCCATTGCTAGCAATATACCCAACCAGGTCGACCTCCTCGCGGTTCCCCCTGGAAATTATCATGGTTAATTCCTGACGAATTCATCATGATGGGCTAACTGGCATTTTCATTCTGTTTCGCCCATGATACCCCCCATGCGTTGCCATTCCTGAGGACTCAGGTGTTACTCCTCTGTACCCAGTAAATTCACGCCATATCCCACGCTTCAAACCGAAACACAAAACATAGGCTTCAGTCACAAAAAATAATAGATCTTCTATCTATCTATCTAGCCATGTAAAGCCGGGATGGATAGCTAGTTAAGATAACCTGTTAATCACTATTAATACTCTTCCAGGAATACATCAAATACTTCCTAGCTACCATCCTGGAGTTCCAGATCTTCGAGCAGCTCTGTATTGCCTCAGGTCACACTGGGCATCTGCACGAATGCGACGTGTACAGGAGCAGGGATGCTGGGAGGGTCCTCAGGTATCCACAGCTTAACTTGCTTCTTAAATACTAGATTCCATAATACCTTCCATGGTAAATAAATAATATAATTAAACAGTTGTATTTTTTAATACCACTGAGGTGCCACGTGGTCCTCCCTGGAAAACCATTGCGCTAAATGTCAAGCGTATTCATCACGATGGGCTGACTGACCTGTCTTTTCCATTCTCACCTATCATCCCTCACTGGTTCTCCGTCAGCGTATACCGTTAGCGCAGGCGATGTAACTATCAATCATTACCCATTAGAAAGTTTACGTACAGACGTCACAGTGTATTCAGTGACGTCCAGTGTACTGGTCATGTCTATAGGCGACAGTTACCACTTCCTATCAGGCTCGGCTCGTTTAACATTTCAAATATGACCAGAAAATTTGCAAACTAATTAACTCTATGGGGGAAAGGGGTTGTTAGTAATGGAGTCAAATATTTCCATTACTAGCAAAATGCTGGAAAGCATAATTAGTACATTACTGCAGCGGCCAGCAACTGAGGCATTGATGGACGAATGTACAAATGTGGGCTGAGGCGTAGTCGAGGCACACATACGTGAGTCCATCAATGCTTAGTTGTGGCCAAGGCTTGTATAGTACTTTTTTCAAACAATGCGCGGAAATCAAAAACACAATTTTACTTTTTAAATTCAATGACGAATAACGAACAATAATAATTTTTCACGCGCCATAATGTTTCTTTGTTTTATTTTTCAATAAACAGCTTTCTATTTGCAAGCCAGTTCGAAATTTAAACAAAACCTTCTATTAGTTACCTCCTTGGTAGTCATGTTTTGAAGTAAAAGGTCATTCCATTTTTAAATTGCAGGACAGATATGAGTTTACATAGTAATTTATCTGGCCGCAAAACACGACAGATATGGATTTTCATACAACTTTTGCCGGCCGCTGCCCGCATGTATCTGGCCAGTACGGCAATTTTGATTTATCTCGAAGAAGATTGTCAAAATAATGCTCACATTTCCAAGCATGTTTGAGAAAAGTTATTTTTTTTTTCGAATTATACACGATGTACGAACTGACCTGCTTTATTCTGATGCTATCTTCTCTCACTGGTGCCCCAGTAACGTATACCAATAGCGCAAACAGATTTACCATTTCATTTTCACACATTAAAAAAAACAACTGGCTCTAAGAACCACAAATGCATTCGTATATTTTTTTTTTCAGTGACATGATGCAACCAGGGTCGTCTAAGCCCGCATCGGAAATTATCAGGGCGATGACGAAGGGCAAGACTAATAGAATATCACCAGAATCGCTCGTAAAGTAAGCTTTTTTTTTTACAACACAGGGGGCAAACGAGCATGCGGCTCACCTGATGGTAAGTATTGATAAGTGACTACCGCTGCCCATGATCACCCACAACACCAACGGCATTGTAGATGTGCTGCCGGTCTTTTAAATAGGAATACGCTCTTTTCTTGAAAGTTATGTTGTCGTATCGGTTCGGAAATACTGCTGCTGGAAGTTGATTCCAAAGAGTGGTTGTGCGTGGGAGAAAGTGCCTTGAAAAACGCACGGTGGAGGACCGCCACTCGTCCAGATGGTTGGGATGAAACTTAAGTTTGTGGCGAGTTGTACGGTGGTGAAAATCAGCAGCAGGTATCAATCCGAACGATTCCTCAGAGCACTCCCCATGATAGATTCGGTAGAAGATGCACAGAGATGCAACATTATTTCCTTATAAAAAATGTACGCAGCTATTGAAAGAAAACCTATTAAAATTATAGTATATGCAAAAATTTTTAAGAATAGTTCCTTATTTAATATTAGTTCCTCTTTAACGGAAAAACTTCTGAACGGATCTGAAATAAATTTGATACAAAGGGTAGATTATTTATTAGGTATATTTAAATAAATTTATTAACCAAAAGAAAATATGGTACAAAAGGCGGTCTTAATGCTAGTAGCATTCTCTACCAGTCAACCTTTGGGATGAACAGTGGATCACCAACGTGGTACCTCATTATTGGGACAGGTAAAGGAAATAACAACTAATAATGTGTTACGCATTAAAAAAATAATATATACAGAAACAACATAAAATTATGTTTTTTTTTTTTATGCAAGAATGGTAAACGAGCTCACGGCCCACCTGATGGAAAGTGGTAACCGTCGCCTATAGACATGAGCAGTACCATGGACATAACAGAGTATACTGCTTCGCCCATGATACCCTCTATGCGTTGCCATTCCTGAGGACTCGAGTGTTATTCCTCTGTAGCCTGTAAATTCGCTGCCATATCCCATCCTTTAAGTTGTGTAAAAATACCTTTTCGGATATTTTAAACACGTCGTGGTCACGACGTGGTGCAATCCACGTCGAAACGTCGTCAATAAAGAAGCAGGTAAGTAGGTACTATTTACCTGTAAAAGCTCGTTAAGTACCGATTGTGTGTTTAAAATATGTGTATACAACGCGAAAGTTTAAAATTACTAATTTAATTAATTTTATTATTAATTATTTAATTTTATTATTAATCATTTAATTTTATTATTAATCATTTAATTTAATTAATTCATTTAATCAGTAATTCTTTAATTTAATTAGTAATTATTTAATTTAATTGTAAATTATTTAATTCATTATTATTTAATTAAATTTTTAGGTATTTACTTTAATTATTAATTGTTTAATTTCATTATTATCTATTTCAGATACTTCAGACCGTTGGAACTCTGGCTTCGAGTTCAGAACCGTGATGAGCCACTCATCGGCTGGAGTTCAAACTATCACGACGTAGCATTATTCGCCCCGCAGAGGGGCGCCAGTGGCAATACGTACATATCTCTTTCTTTGTTAAGTACTACTGTATTGCATCACTTGTTGTAGATATTTAAATAAAATTAAATTACATAAGCATGTTTAATTAATTCACTACACTATCTAGCCGTGTGGTCCCGGCATAGAATGGACCACCCCTTCCTTTCTCGTAAATCTCGTAAGAGGCAATTAAGAGAACTTAATGGTCGACAGATGGGCAACAGCGTTCCTCTGGGGGGGAGTAGGGATTGCTAGTAATGGGGATTAGTAGCCCCATTGTTAGCAATATACCATATCAGGTCGATCTCTTCGTGGTTCCCCTGAAAGCCATCGTGATTGATTTATTGTTAGATTCGTCACGATGGGCTGACTGACCTGCTTCATCCTCACCTATCTTCCTTCACTGGTGCCCCGCCAGTGTATACCGATAGCGCGGGCGGGGTTACCATTCCATTATCATCCATTAACAGCGTCCCTCTTAAAACATCACCAAAGCCAAACTGCGGTTGCCAACCCGCCTGCCAAGCGTGGCAACTACTAGCAAAACCCCCCCTTATGGGGAAGGCTTCTGTTCAGCGGTGGACAGTTAACGGCTTTTTTTGTAACACAAGATGCAAACGAGCATGCGGCTCACCTGATGGTAAGTGACTACCGCCGCCCATGATCATCCACAACACCAGCGACATTGCAGGTGTGATGCCGGCCTTTTGAAAAGGAATGTGCTCTTTTCTTTAAGGTTACCCTTGCATTTGAGGTCGTCACTCCATGTAGTAGGGGATCGTCCTACACTGCGTTTACCCGTACGCAGTCTTTACTCAAGAACCTTTCTTCCCCATCGGTTGTCGGTACTTTTTTGTTTATACAACTTAGAATGGCAAACAAGCTGACGGCCCACCTGATATAAATTGGTAACCGTCGCCTATAGACATGAACAGTACCATTGACATAACAGAGTATACTGTTTCGCCCATGACACCCCCCAATGCGTTGCCATTCCGGAGGACTCAGGTGTTATTCCTCTGTACCCTGTAAATTCACGCCATATCCCACCCTTCAAACCGAAACACAGTCAGGCAAACAACTGCTTCACGGTTGAAACACGAATGGGACAGAGGTATCCAAGCAAGCCACTTCAGCTTGCTTATCGTTCGGGCTATGTCGGTTATTATGGCTCTTTTATCTCATCATTTTAGATTCTATCACGCATAAAAACTCTCTCCATAGCCCGCTGAGCAATTCGAAGCTTTTGCATACGGGCAATCGTGCAGGACCATGTTTCGGTTCTCTAAGTCGTCACTGGCAACGTGCACTGGTTAATGAATGAATGAATGAATGAGTATACTTTATTTGCATTATACAATATAGTAAATAAGCAAGACAATTTACAAACACAACGATACAATTGTATAAGTACAGTGAGGCGGTCTTATTGCTGAGAGCAATCTTTTCAAGACAACCTTAAGGTAATGGACTAATTGTTGTACAAATAGGTATGATAGTGCTGTATAATTGAAAAAGCATCTTTTGCAAATTAAAAATCTATAAAAATTATATACATATATACACACACATATATACATACATATATACACATACATATACAATTCAATCAAATAAAATTATATAATCCCTTGCATATATGTTAAATATGTACCCAATACAAGGATATATATAAATAATTATAGGCACAAGCAAAACAGTTATAAAATATATAAATACATAAATAAAGAATGCCAATTTTTTAAATGAAGAAACAATCGGATAGAGAAAAGATAATCTTTCACTTGTCGTTTGAAAGCATGACCTTCGACTTTCAATTTTGAGGTATTTTGGACGGAATGTATGTTTGTTCTGTGTTGACCTAGCGAATCACGAGTAACTGCATGATCGCTCCATTGAAAGATGTCGAGCAAAGTGGAGATCTCGATTACAACAAGACGTTCTTTTCTATTTTTTATTATTTTTTTTTTTTGTGTGTATATTGGATTTTACTCCGTTACTTGTCCCATACTGATTTTGTCCCGATCTCCGATGACAATATTGGGGTTCCGTAGCTAAATTGTGGAAAAAAACCCGTGTGTATATATTGTATGTTTTTTTTTATACAACTTAGAATGGCAAACAAGCTGACGGCCCACCTGATGGAAAGTGGTAACCGTCGCCTATAGACGTGAGCAGTACCATGGACATAACAGAGTATACTATTTCGCCCGTGATACCCATCATGCGTTGAGGACTCAGGTGTTTTTCCTCTGTACCCTGTAAATTCACTGCCTTATCTCACCTTTCAAACTGAAACACAGCTATCCAAGCACAACTGCTTCACGGTAGAAACACGAATGGGACAGTGGTACTCAAGCAATCGACTTCTGTACATGGTCTCCCTCTGGTAAAATGTGATTTTTTCCTTAATTTTAAAGACTACTCATGTCTATAGGCGACGGTTACCACTTTCCATCAGATGTAAAATTAACGATTAAAAAAAGAGCTTGTAAACAAGAATATTTGAATAAAGATTATGTCTACTCTATCCACTAAACATTTAAATTTTTTTTATACCACTGAGGTGGCAAACAAGCATACGGCCCACCTGATGGTAAGTGGTTACCGTAGCCTATGAACACCTGCAATACCAGAGGTATTACGCGTGCGTTGCCGACCCTGAAGAAACCTCTTTACCCCCCTTTTGAAGAACACCATGCTGTAGTCTCTTGGGAAAACCTCGGCAGGGAGCTCATTCCACAACCTGAGTGTTCGTGGGAGGAAACATCTGTGGAACCGCGCAGTTCACGACCATTGAGGCTGTAGGACATGAGGATGAACTCTCTGTCGATGGCGAGCCGTACGATGCTAGAAAGTGGCTGTGGACATCATATTGAACAATTCCTCTGAGCACAATCCATTATACAGGCGGTAGAACACGCAGAGTGAGGCAAATTCTCTCCTAAGATTTAAGGGTTCGATACCGCTTGTAAGCCTGGGATCATCGACAATTCTCATAGCTCGTCGTTGCAACGAGTCGAAAGGTTCAAGCTGGTATTTAGGTGCTCCGGCCCATAAGTGACAGCAGTACTCCATGTGGGGCCGGATTTGCGATTTGTACAGCATTAATCGCTGATCCGGCGTGAAGTAATGCTTCGCTCTATTGAGCACACCGAGTTTTTTAGATGCCAGCTTCATCTTATCTTCGAGGTGGCCACGGAACTGTACATCACTTGAGATGTCGACACCAAGGATCCCAATGCTTTTAGAGATGTTAAGAGACGTGCCTTGGAACTGTGGGGCCACATCAAATGGGGTTTTTCTTAGCGGTGAACGCGCAAGCTTGTGTCTTAGCGAGGTTAAAGTGGACTAAGTTTTGTTGGCCCCAATCGGAGACTCTAGTTAACGTTCTCTCGATTTTAGACACAAGCTGTTCACGATTGTCCTCCACGACGGAACGAGGGACATTGGTACGACCCGTATAATGGGTATATATACCGTATAAATATTTTAAATGTACTTATGAAGTTTTCAAAAGGTTTTCTTTTGCCATTAAAATGCAAAATTTTAATGACTGCTTTATAAACAAGAATCTCGTGCCTTGTTGCCAATCACTTCGCTGTCTTTGCACTCAAAACTTTCATTTTTACAATGTTAGGAAGTAGAGATATTTCGAAAACATTTCTTCGAAAGTTGGCCGCAATCGTCACCAATATTATGAACTAATTTATACCCGTGGCTTTGTCCACTTGACCGGCATATGCCTACTTATTAAATTACTTTTTAAACTAATAATAGAAAGGAAAGATTTGATAATATTGTTTTTTTTTTTTAATGGATACATAAAAACTACATAAACGGTTTTAAAAAATCCTTGACCTATAGAAAGCTATATTATTTTCGGGTAATAGACGCTATATTGGTGGCTGTGTGGTCCCAGCATAGAATAAGCCACCCCTTCCTTTCCCGTGGGTGTCGTAAGAGGCGACTAAAGAAACTAAATGATAGAGGAATGGGCAGCAGCGTCCCTCTTAACCCTTAAAAGCCTGATTTTTTAAATCAAATTAAAAAATATATAAGTGTACCCTTTACTGTGTTTACTAATGGGGAAAAATAGTAGAAAAAATCAAAACGATATTTTTATATATTTATTTAAAAAAAAAAACATTTGGTAACATGTAAACAGTCAAATATTAAAATAAAATCGATTGTAGGCGCCCAATGCGATTTATAACTTCGGTATCAAATTGGAAACTTTAGGTATTTAAGGGTTAAAACATCTCTAAAGCCTAACTGCGGTTGCCAATTCGCCTGCCAAGCATGGCAACTACTGGCAATACCCCCAAGGGGGAGGCTTATGCTCAGCAGTGGACAGTTAAAAGCTGATGTAATGATCATACAAAATAAGTAATACATACATAAATATAAAGGAATATATATATATATATATACTAGCTGACCCCGTAAACGTTGTTTTACCACTTATTGCGAAATATAAAAATCGCAATTAAAATACATGGGTTGATCGTAAAACGATGAAAATTTAAAGTTGTATGTATTTTTCAATGCTAAATTATAATAAAATAAAAATAAAAAAAAAATTGTCAAAAAAATAAAAAAAAATATTTTGGGGTGGGTCACCCTTATCATTGAGGGGTATGAAAAATAGATGTTGGCCGATTCTCAGACCTGCCCAATATGCACACAAAATTTCATAAATATCGGTAAAGCCGTTTCGAAGGAGTTTGGTAACAAACACCGTGACACGAGAGTTTTATATATATGTATATCTACTCAATTGTGGTTTCGTATTTGTTTGACTATCTGCATAGTGATGTCGAAATTGTTAGGCGTTCGAGAGATTTGTTTTTTACGACTTCCGTACGAGAGAGGTCCCCGTTCGTCTGATTTTTTTGCGACCATATCACGCGATTGCAATCAATGTATCGATCCATCAATCAGTCAGTCAGTCATCAATCATTTATTATTACAAACATAAGTACAGCTTATTCCCCAGCCTACTAACTTAAGTAATCTTTTAATTATTTCTTTTACTTAAAACCCCAATATTTTATGGATTATGGTAAATTTTTTAAAAAACAATAATATCAAAC